GGACAGGTTTGTTATTAATTAATTCATAATTAACGCATGGAGTGTCGTGAATGAATAATATAATACATATAATTTTGAAGGCAGGGATGCTGCAATATTGTATCCCACCGTCAGACTCCCTCTTGCAATAAGCTTGGGATAGGGAATCCCAATTGATTCTCGCAGCTCTCTCTCTCTCTCTCTCTCTCTCTCTCTCTCTCTCTCTCTCTCTCTCTCTCTCTCTCTCTCTCTCTCTCTCTCTCTCTCGATGTTCGTTACGAATTCCCTCGCAGCAATGCACCAGAATGGATATGTCGGAAATGCAAATATATATATATATCTATATATATATATATATATATATATATATATATATATATATATATATATATATATATATATATATATATATATATATATATATATATATATATATATATATATATATATATATATATTCAAAATGTTATTGAATCACATGACAGTACGCTTGCTGGGATAAGATATATCTGACACATCGAGAAACACCCGTATGACACAAGCCCAAGATCCATCCAGCAAGTTATGTTTGGGACCAATCGGGTGGTTGGGGCATGAACTACCGGACTGGTGGTTCTGTATTAACCACTGTATTATTTTTGTATTAACTATCGGACTATGGTGGTTAATTAATATTGTTTTTCATATATATATTATCCAACATCAACAAACAAAAAAAGGAGGCCTGGTCGAGGACCGGGCCGCGGGGACACTAAGCCCCGATAAATCATCTCACGATAACCTCAAGATCAGACACTCCCAACCATCCGAATGGTTCTGTAACCCCCCTTAATACGCCTGAATGGCTCTGTAACCCCACTTAACACGCCTGAATGGTTCTGTAACCCCACTTAACACACCTGAATGGTTCTGTAACCCCCACTTAACACACCTGAATGGTTCTGTAACCCCTTAACACACCTGAATGGTTCTGTAACCCCACTTAACACACCTGAATGGTTCTGTAACCCCCACTTAACATACCTGAATGGTTCTGTAACCCCACTTAACACACCTGCATGGTTCTGTAACCCCACTTAACACACCTGAATGGTTCTGTAACCCCCACTTAACACACCTGAATAGTTCTGTAACCCCAACTAAACACACCTGAATGGTTCTGCAACCCCCACTTAACACACCTGAATAGTTCTGTAACCCCAACTAAACACACCTGAATGGTTCTGTAACTGCACTTAGCGCACCTGAATGGTTCTGTAACCCCCACTTAACACACCTGAATAGTTCTGTAACCCCAACTAAACACACCTGAATGGTTCTGTAACTGCACTTAGCGCACCGGGAGCCGGTCGGCCGAGCGGACAGCACGCTGCATTTGTGATCCTGTGGTCCTGGGTTCGATCCCAGGCACCGGCGAGAATCAATGGGCAGAGTTTCTTTCACCCCATGCCCCTGTTACCTAGCAGTAAAATAGGTACCTGTGTGTTAGTCAGCTGTCACGGGCTGCTTCCTTGGGGTGGAGGCCTGGTCGAGGACCGGGCCGCGGGGACACTAAAGCCCCGAAATCATCTCAAGATAACCTCAAGAAGATAACCGTTCACTAGCCCCCTCACCTCCTAGCCTCATACAACGCCTAACCACCTCCTAGCCTCATACAACCCTTAACCACCTCCTAGCCTCATACAACGCCTAACCACCTCCTAGCCTCATACAACCCCTAACCACCTCCTAGCCTCATACAACGCCTAACCACCTCCTAGCCTCATACAACGCATAACCAGCTCCTAGCCTCATACAACCCCTAACCACCTCCTAGCCTCATACTACGCCTAACCACCTCCTAGCCTCATACAACGCCTAACCACCTCCTAGCCTCATACAACGCCTAACCACCTCCTAGCCTCATACAACCCCTAACCACCTCCTAGCCTCATACAACCCCTAACCACCTCCTAGCCTCATACAACCCCTAACCACCTCCTAGCCTCATACAACCCTTAACCACCTCCTAGCCTCATACAACCCTTAACCAGCTCCTAGCCTCATACAACGCCTAACCACCTCCTAGCCTCATACAACCCCTAACCACCTCCTAGCCTCATACAACCACCCAATTCACCCCCTCGTCGCAATGACTATCAGGAGAGTTTCTGCAACATATTAAACAAAGCAGACAATGTGTTGCTGGGCAGAGGTGCAAGCAAGCAAGCACGCTCCTAGGATCGATTACCCCCTATACGTCCCTAGCACGTATCCTGATGATCCCCTAGCACCCAAAATAGGTCCTAGGAGAGTGAGTGATCCGTGTGGGCTAGGAGAACGACTCAAGGGCCAGCTAGTGCAGGCAAAGGGTCTCCAACTAACACTGCAACTCATTAATTAGATAACGGAACACACTGATGGCTGTTAGCTATCTTCCTCTTCGAGACCCCAGCCGGCCGACATGTCCGCGGGTTTAAAAAAATTGAACATAATTCCACTACGGGCTCACCATAGTCCGTGCTACTTGGAACTTTTTGTTCCAGGTGACGTATCTTAAACAACAACAACAACAGACATATCCGCCAAGCTGTGTGTCCTAAACACACATATAAGACCAGACCAGAAATGTATTCAGAACTGACCTTATATTCAATGACTTTAAAACCTTATATTGAGACTATAATGCCTTTCACTGAGAGACCCCCCGAGCCCCCCCCCTAATACTTTACACTGATACCCCATAATCCCTTATAAGGGGATCCTAATATTGTACACTGAGATCCTAATATCTTATACACTGAAATCCTGATACCCTAATACCTTACACTGAGATTCTCCAACACTTAAGAAACGAGGTTGCTGTGTGTGTGTGTGTGTGTGTGTGTGTGTGTGTGTGTGTGTGTGTGTGTGTGTGTGTGTGTGTGTGTGTGTGTGTGTGTGTGTGTATAGCAGCTTGGTACCAGTTCCACAGACAGCCTACCAGATACTTACCTTCCCTCCCACCTCCCTTTCCACAGGAGCCACAGACCCAGCAACCAAAGCGGCAACCGGCAATCTTGAGGTTATCTTGAGGTTATCTTGAGGTTATCTTGAGGTTATCTCTCAAGCCAGCCAACAGGTGCTGCCCCTGGACTCCCATCACCTCCAAAACGCCCAAGATAAACGTCTTATATATATATATATATAATATATATATATATATATATATATATATATATATATATATATATATATATATATATATATATAATTCTCCATCATTATAATATTCCTTCTTCTAGACCCCACCAGATCACTAGAGAGTCAGGAAGCTAAATAAATGATAATACATGTAAATGTAAAAAAATAGATTGAGATTGATAAGTTATCTGTCAGATTACATTAATGGATAGACATATAGAGATGAATGTGTAGATATATATAGATAGACGAATAATGTATAGCATAGATATATAGATACGCGAATAAACTGATACACAGAAAATCGGGCAGATGCATAGCTTAACCGACGGATTCAATTATAATTATACATAAAAAGAGACAGATATACAGACAGGGACGGTGGATTCCCCCCCCCCCCGTCATTGACAGGAACACACGTGGCGTAGTACGGTTATCAAGATGACCCCTACCTAACGGTCACCAAACCAATTACTGTCCATATCCAATTACTGTTTACTCACCTGATAGTGGCACTATCACCCACTGCACGTAGACAGGCTTGTAGCTGGATAGACAGGGAGAAGGGGTTCGTGAAGATTGGTGTATAGACAGATAAGACCCGCAGATAAACGTATAAATAGATAGGACAGACAGATAAATGTATAGATAGACAGGAATAGACAAGCATATACACTAATTGGCATGCCACTAGATGTATAGACAGATCATCATATGCAGCCAGGTATTGACACCTGTCAAGTGGGTGACCTGGCAGGTGAGTGGATGAACAGGCAAGCGGATAAGTGGATAGAAAGGAAGGTAAATGGATAGACAAAGCAGCTAAATCAGTATAAAATCTATCGTATCTTCACCGACAAACTCCTATATATATATATATATATATATATATATATATATATATATATATATATATATATATATATATATATATATATATATATATATATATATATATATATAGAAGAACAATTTAAAAACCATAATTCGAAAGAGTTTTTTCCTGTTTTTGATTTGTGTGAATCCCGATTTGTACATATTTTTTTGTCAATAATGTATTTTAGGGTCAAAGCCTCTTCAGTGAAATATAAACCAAGAATGACTTATGTCTCGAAATTTCAAGGAACTCAACTCCAGAGACGAGAAGACCAACAGGTCTAATTTAGTCTAAATCTATAGATCAACAGACCAATTAAGTCTAAAAGTCACATTTGTCCTTCAAACTTTTATCAAGACAAGTTTAAAAAAAATATTAAAAAATAATCTAATATTCATATTGAAAATGTTTTCATAGTCAAATTTAATTAATAGCTTTACCTGTACCCTCTATATACTTCGTTTCCGTGAAAAAAAAAAAAAAAATCCAAAGCCCCCCACCCAAAAAAAATCTAATTTTTACGATAGCAAATTGATAAGACGCGATACGGGAACCTTGCAGATTCAGAATCTGAAATCCTGACCTCTCAGCACCAAAAGAAACCTCCATTAAAAAAAAAACTATTGTGGATTTCTTAATTATATAACTATATGATATTGACTGGAGGGATATATAAGGCCTTACCATTGGCGTAGATGAAGGAGAGTGTCTCAGCCCATGTCAAGAACAGCAATGCGTATCCCAGAACGGACGAGGACGGAGGCGGATTCTTCCTGGATCTTTGGACCCGTTCTTGTAGCATCTTGCGTGTATGTGTCTCTCTCTGTCTGTCTGTCTCTCTCTCCCTCACTCCCTCACCACACCACCAGCGGCTCGTGTTCCCACCATCATTCCGGATTTGAGGTCTGGGGAACACCTCTTGTGTCAGAAATATTTCAAGAAATCAAATTCCTTCAATTGCCGAAGATAGCTAATTCGAACCACACACCCTTCTGGAGGCTATTTAAGAAGTCGCTCACACTCTCACTTTTCTCTCAGGCCTACGAAGTACATCGGTAAGCGTCCGATTTCGGATAACTTTGGATTATAGTTGAAGCACAATACAAGTTTCCCAGTTCCGGCCATTGTGGCTAGTGTTGACGGGTTCTGGGAGGTCTCTTGCAAGTCTATGTTCTTATATTACTTCTCTGCACTTGTGTGCACTCCGCGGTAAATCAACATCATTCGCACTAAACAAATTCACTAAAAAATATAATATCCGGATGTGTATCGTGTACTAGACCGGTTAAACGACACCTTTTAAATGTTGCACATGACGTCTTGAACGGGTGAGGTGGTAGTTGATCTATTGCATGTTGGCCAGCGGCAGCGGGTGGGCTGGTGGACAGGTGGTGCAGGACAGCTGGCGAGGCCACGTTGGTGGTGATGCTGGGCCGCAGACCCGAGATACTCCCACTCCCACTATTCCAGCCATACTGGAATTACACCTGAACATCTTCCTTCCGTTATTGTTCCCGAATCGTACCATCGTGCCGGCTCCCGGGGGCTCGTCTCGTCATTCCTGGTCATACGAAGCGTTTAACGCACTCGTACTTGATGTTCGTCATTCCGGGCTTCGTAAATGACATAGAGATAATAGATGAATTTGTATTTCATAGAGTAGAAGGAGAGGTGTGCGTCGTGCGGCTGGCAGCGGGGTCGCGGGACAGGCGCGCGTGGCAGCCGGCAGCGATGCCAGACATTCCCGACGACCGGAGCTCAGACGTTCGTGGGACACCGGAGGGGAAGGACCGCTCGCTGAGACTTATAATTTCCAACTATTCAATTTCTCTCGTATATAAAGACGAACAACTATTCAAACTTTTATGACCATAGGAGTTCTACAGATTTTAAGCATCACTTTACATGTTTGGTGTGTTTATCATGCGATATTGGAGTAAACTGCCCTATTGGGAGAACAAAGCCGCTTGTTTAAGCTGTCGTAGTCTTGATGTGTACGTGAGTGTGTAGGTGGTTGCTGTCTTGCTGTGTACATGAATGTGTAACGTGGGGGATGACGACATTTTTATATGTACGTATGTGTGTGTGTGTAGTCTGGAGTTGTTTGTGTGTGTACGTGTAAGTATATAGGCTTACACATATAAGTCTTGATGTGTACAAGTGGGTGTATGTGTAGCAGTTAATGTTTTGTTTAACCCGTCCTTAACCGGTCTCAAACAAGTTTTATATACACACACACACACACACATACAAACACACACATACACACACCCAAATAAAAATGAGAAAATAGGAATGAATTAAACTGCAGAAGGCTTGTCGGCCCACACCAGGCAGCACCAATTAATATCTCTACCCACAGTCAGTCTTACCTTAGCTTGAAACAATCCAATTACCGGGTAATTTACTCCATATATATATTAACCCTGTTTCCAAACCAGTATTTACCCAGGTCTTTGCCCGAGTCTAAACTTATCTAATTTATAACCTTTGTTTTATCTCCTATTTAATGTTTTTTATTTATAATCTTACTAAAGAGGTCTTTTAAGTCTCATTCTGCCTCATATATCTATCTGTCTGTCCATCTATCCTGCAAGCTTTCTATTCATCCATCTATCCACCTATCCCATCTATCCACCTATCCCAGTTACCTTGCGGTGGTTCTGGGGGTCACTGAGGTCCCCGCGGCCCGGTCTCTGACCAGGCATCCTCCTGGTTGCTGGACTGGTCAACCAGGCTGTTAGACGCGGCTGCTCGCGGCCTGACGTATGAGTCACAGCCTGGTTGATCAGGTATCCTTTGGAGGTGTTTATCAAGATTTAGGCCTTTTAGTCGGTCCTAGTAATTTATTTGTGTCCATCTATATTTCTATTCCTTCATCCAGCTGTCTATCCATCTAACAATTCGTCTATTCATCAATCCATCTGTTCATATATCTATCCTATTCATCCATCTATTTATTTATTTATCCACCTATCTATCCATTCATCTACTCAATTATCTTTCCGATTATCTATCCCATCAATGCATGTGTTTATTCATTTATTTATCCATCTATCTGTTAGTCTATCCATCTATCAACTCGCACATATCTATCATAACATCGCCCCAGAATATAATAGTTCCCTCTTCATAATTTTTGAGTTGGCTCCGTTTTCTATGGAAGGAAAGAGGTTAATTTTTGTATATAATTTGTTTTTAATTATGACATTAGTTTAAATGACAGAAAATAAGTATTAATTTTCCCGAGATCAGTGATTAATGGTGTATACTTTTACATAAAAAATATATTTTTTGCATTTTTTTTGGTTTCAATTTTTTTTTTCGTGTTTCTGGCGAGGTGTTGTCAAAAACCGTCGTGGGGGTGTGAATGTGGCCGTGGCACGCGGTTCTCTCTTGAATTGTGGTGACCCCCGACCAGCTTATATGTTTATCCCGGATCCCAGAGGCCAGATTCACGAAAGCACTTACGAACGTGTACATCTTTTCTCAATCTTTGGCGGCTTTGTTTCCAATTATTAAACAGTTAATGAGCTCCGAAGCACCAGGAGGCTGTTTATAACAATAACAACAGTTGATTGGGAAGTTTTCATGTTTGTAAACTGTTTAATAAATGTAACCAAAGCCGTCAAAGATTAATGAAAGATGTACACGTTCGTAAGTGCTTGCGTAAATGCTTTCGTGAATCTGGCCCCAGACCGTTCCCTCTGCCAGTTTGGATGAGGCTAGCCCCTTGCGTCTGGCCTCCAACTTTTGACAGGGAGACAGACAGACATTCGATCTTATAAGTCCAAGTGGTGCCTGCGTCTGTCTGTCTGTCTGTGTCTCTCTAACCTTCCCTCTCGCCTCTCTCCCCTTCCTGTCCCTGCGCCTTCCCCCCCCCCCTTTCCCTATCTTCCCTCCTCTCTCTTCTTCAATACAATATAATATTAATGTGAATAATAACAGTAATAGTCGAGTTACACAGAACTGTGAGATGTTAGAGTGACACAGTGTCATTGTTTCCTTCAACAACAATCACACCTATGTTGGGCACGTGCCCAAGAGCAATGCCTTGACAAAGTTCGTCTGCCGCGTAGCCTCACACAGTCGCAGATGTTTCCATTGATAGACAGAGTTGATTTTATTTCGCGCAGATCGTAAATTTCTTGTTTTTAGCTGGAGAACTATTTGATTATATAATGTTCTACACGAAATGATATTTCCTTGTAATCTAGTTATCACTGATAACTATGACGCTACCTCTGTCTCCAGACTGATAACTATGACGCTACCTCTGTCTCCAGACTGATAACTATGACGCTACCTCTGCCTCTAGACTGATAACTATGACGCTACCTCTGTCTCCAGACTGATAACTATGACGCTACCTCTGTCTCCAGACTGATAACTATGACGCTACCTCTGTCTCCAGACTAATAACTATGACGCTACCTCTGTCTCCAGACTGATAACTATGACGCTACCTCTGCCTTTAGACTGATAACTATGACGCTACCTCTGTCTCCAGACTGATAACTATGACGCTACCTCTGTCTCCAGACTGATAACTATGACGCTACCTCTGTCTCCAGACTGATAACTATGACGCTACCTCTGTCTCCAGACTGATAACTATGACGCTACCTCTGTCTCCAGACTGATAACTATGACGCTACCTCTGCCTCTAGGCTGATAACTATGACGCTACCTCTGTCTCTAGACTGATAACTATGACGCTACCTCTGCCTCTAGGCTGATAACTATGACGCTACCTCTGCCTCTATACTGATAACTATGACGCTACCTCTGTCTCTATACTGATAACTATGACGCTACCTCTGTCTCTAGACTGATAACTATGACGCTACCTCTGCCACTAGACTGATAACTATGACGCTACCTCTGCCTCCAGACTGATAACTATGACGCTACCTCTGTCTCTAGACTGATAACTATGACGCTACCTCTGTCTCTAGACTGATAACTATGACGCTACCTCTGTCTCTAGACTGATAACTATGACGCTACCTCTGCCTCTAGACTGATAACTATGACGCTACCTCTGTCTCTATACTGATAACTATGACGCTACCTCTGCCTCTATACTGATAACTATGACGCTACCTCTGTCTCCAGACTGATAACTATGACGCTACCTCTGTCTCTAGACTGATAACTATGACGCTACCTCTGCCACTAGACTGATAACTATGACGCTACCTCTGCCTCTAGACTGATAACTATGACGCTACCTCTGTCTCTAGACTGATAACTATGACGCTACCTCTGTCTCTAGACTGATAACTATGACGCTACCTCTGTCTCTAGACTGATAACTATGACGCTACCTCTGTCTCTATACTGATAACTATGACGCTACCTCTGTCTCCAGACTGATAACTATGACGCTACCTCTGTCTCCAGACTGATAACTATGACGCTACCTCTGTCTCCAGACTGATAACTATGACGCTACCTCTGTCTCTAGACTGATAACTATGACGCTACCTCTTCCTCTAGACTGATAACTATAAGTCACCCTATAGAGGGGATACATTAGATTACAACCTATCTACACTCCACAGTCCACCACCCCCCCCCTCCCTACTGCCTGATATCCAGGAAGCTTAGTGCCACACGGGTCGTTATCGACTGTGATAGCAATATGACAGTACTGACCAAGCGCAGCGCCCTCTGCGCGATATCTAAAGCAACTTGCGTCGATCTAACGTAATATCACTGCGTCTCGTATTGTATGTATCAGAGAAGCTCAAGGGCCACACATGGTGTAGATAGGTAGATCAAGGGCCACACATGGTGTAGATAGGTAGATCAAGGCGCCCACATGGTGTAGATAGGTAGATCAAGGGCCCCACATGGTGTAGATAGGTAGATCAAGGACCCCACATGGGGTAGATAGGTAGATCAAGGCCCCCCACATGGTGTAGATAGGTAGATCAAGGCCCCCCACATGGTGTAGATAGGTAGATCAAGGGCCGCACATGGTGAAGATAGGTAGATCAAGGCCCCCACATGGTGTAGATAGCTAGATCAAGGGCCTCACATGGTGTAGATAGCTAGATCAAGGGCCCCACATGGTGTAGATAGGTAGATCAAGGGCCCCACATGGTGTAGATAGGTAGATCAAGGGCCTCACAAGGAAAGCAGCAGCAGCAGTAGCAGCAGCAGCAGCAGCAGCAGTAGCAGCAGTAGCAGCAGCAGCAGCAGCAGCAGTAGCAGCAGCAGCAGTAGCAGCAGCAGCAGCAGCAGTAGCAGCAGCAGCAGCAGCAGTAGTAGCAGCAGCAGCAGCAGTAGCAGTAGCAGCAGCAGCAGCAGCAGCAGCAGTAGCAGCAGTAGCAGCAGCAGTAGCAGCAGCAACAGCAGCAGCAGCAGTAGCAGCAGCAGCAGCAGCAGCAGCAGCCGTAGCAGCAGCAGTAGCAGTAGTAGCAGCAGCAGCAGCAGCAGCAG